GTGTGTGTGTGTGTGTGTGTGTGTGTGTGTGTGTAGGACGAAACTGTCTGCTGTTTGACAGGCCCCTTCTGCCCACCACACACACCGAGTGTTTGACACTTCAGACAGCGACTCTGACAGCACCTCCCCTCGGCCCTTTGCACCGCCGGAGAGAACAATGTCACTCCCGCTCCGTGCGACAGCATTTTATCTTATTTCTTTTTGTTAAGAAGATGGAACATATTCAAGCAGTTTATTGCTCCGGCTGGGGTACCTTGCCTTACTTCCAACTTCCTTATTGCCCCGCCTCTTGTTCGCCGCACAGCTCATAATGGAGCCCGCTTTCATAAACACGGGACAACAAAGCGTTATTAATCTATATCTCAGGGTTTCTCCTGCGGATGGAAGCAAACAATGACTCATTTCGCGAAGCCTGGTTTTCAAATAACACCACAATCCACAGTGGCTAATTCTGCTCTTATTACTGGGTTGGTGGACGAGGTCAAAAGGTGATGAGGAAACTCTATAGAGGATTAAAGTCTTATTTGATAGTGAAGATAATGACCCTGTGCTAGCTGACCTTTGACATCAGCAGGAAATAATCAAAGGCTTGTATTGAAATGATACTTTCTACATAAAAGGAGTAACCTAACGGGTATTTGCAATGGATCGGTGATGAGAGAAGCTGCTTTGAAGCTTTTGTTTAAAACTAAAACAGGCGCACTTCCTCTTGYTGTGAGGTCGACGGATGAAGCTGCCTGGTGCCATGGTGTCAGAACAACCACCTCACCCTCAAACACCAACAGAACACAGGAGCTGGTGGTGGACATTAGGGAGGAGAGGAGACCTCATCAACCACTGCTCATCTGTGCTCGGGAGAGCAGCTTCAAGTACCTGAGCATCCACATCAAAGAAAGCCTTACCTGGACTCAGACCATCACACAGCTGCTAAAGAAGGCCTAACTGCAGCTTTACTTTTTAAGGATGCTGAGAAACGTTTGGTATTTCACCCAAGATCCTCAGGAAYTTTTACAGCTGTGTGTTGGAGAGGGTCCTAAATAAGGTTGGGCATCGAGTCCCAGATGACCAAATTTCAAATTAAGTGGAATAATCCGCCAGTTGCACTTGGTAAGATTTGAAATGAGGAAAACATTTCCAGGCTAACAAATTAATAATCAACCATATTCTGCTCTTGCTTAGTATATTGTCTCAAAACGAGATCAAAAATACTCTGGCTGGATATAAGTGTATGATTTGGTTAGATGGACAAGTTTTGCAGAGTACCTCTGTGTGAAACGTAAATTCATCACATCTGTTCATCTAGAAAGAACTCTGGTTAGCTACCTCATATAAAAAGCCATGTAAACCTTTTTGACCCTGCCTCTATAAAGAATCAATATTGGGAATCATTGGGAAACGGAATCCAAATGATTGGTTGATTAAATTCTAACAATGTCCAACTCTAGTTCTGACCAGGTGCATCCCATTCTGGTACAGCAGCACTACTGCCATGGACCAAACRCCTGCAGAGGGTGGTGAAGACTGCTGAGAAGATCACAGGGACTTTGCAGCAGAGACACTCTCACTTCTACCCGCAGGCTGGAGGTGTGAATGCAGAACCTCCAAAGTGCCATCAGACTCTTAAATAACTGAATGAATCCAACASTTGACTGGACCTCTTGCACATTTGCACCTTTTTAACATATTTGATTTTACACTTTGCACACTCCACTTATTGGACCTCTTGGAATCTACGTATATATGGTTTGTTCTATTTTTTTTTTAAAATAAAATCACAAAAAGAAAACAACCGTGAGGTTTCTTTTTCTATTTTTTTAAACAAAACCTAAGTGTAAAAATGTCAAATTGAACTAATATAAAAATCCAGTGTTGGATTTTTTTTGCTTTATTTAGATAAATCTAAAATAAAGTATATATGGTTGTTTTAATATGAAGCGATACCGGAAATGGCAGAAGTCGTCAAAGAATAAGAGTTGCTAGAAGAAGACTGCTTAAAAACAGAAACCATTCCTGAAGACATTGGCAATGGCTGCATTCAAACCTTATTCTGCATAACTTGAAATATTAAAGCAATTTTGTTCACAGTGAGATCGACTGCCTCTAAATAGGACTTTGTTTGTTTCTGAAGTGCTCAGTGAAAAGTTAACTTTCTAGGGTTTCAGGCCATGATGTTCCAGTTCCACCAGAAATAGTGAGCTACCTAAATATTTAGCTTCTTTGCTTTACACATCAAAATAAAAAAATAAAGTTTTTCTATTGCGTTTTTTAATTGATGTATAAC